ATGTTCCATGCTTTTATTGTTTTGTTTTCACAAATCCTAAACTTGTGTGCGTTTGTACTCAGACTCCAAAGTCAACAGCATCTAGAATGTCAATGTGCTGCAGCTGCACCTGCTATTGGGGTACATCTCTACCAGCTTTGCATTTCCACAAACAGGAAGGATTTTTTTTTTTTTTTTTTACAACAGAGCTCAAGTTCCATCAGATCCAATGAAGATCAACAAAAAAAAAAAAAAAGTAATTTTCTTGTACATGACAGCAACAATTGGTTGTGTTCTTTCTAAAGGCAATCCACGTCTTGTCTGTTAATGATCTACCAATAAATTGGTATATAGAGTAAGCAGTTCAATGTTTTGGATGTTATTTTATACGAAATCAATTATTGGGCAAAAAAAGAGAAAATCTTAGTTGCATTGTTACTGTTTTAGAATTAAATGCTTTAACTCTACTCTTTAGATGTGTAATCCTCCTGTATGGGGAAGCCCAGGCACAGTATCACTGAAATCAATAGTAACTAACGCCTATGAGCGCAACAACACGCTGCTGAGCAGTTTAAATTCACACAGGACCAAGGTAACAATAACAATGACAGAGAGCAGAGTACTTGCTTAGCTGCCGACTCCTTTAAATCTAGTAACAGATCTGTCAATCAAGTTCTCATTTTCTCCTCTTTTCTAAGCAGGAACTGTTTGCACAAGTTTAAAGAACAAACCACCAACCAGTGCTGTGGCGGGGAAATACAATATTTCAGGATTCTCCTGTGCTGTGTATACAAAAAGTGTTATGTGAACATCTATATATAGATTGATTTTAACAAAAACTGAAAGAAAAGTTGTTTTCAGGGAATTTTTGTGTAATCGGGGTCTGTATTTTATTCTATACAGTAAATTACGAGTAATACAATTAATCATTAAAATGTTTATTTTACTTTAATTTAACTTCCTGTTGCATTAGATTCCAGTATATATTTATATTTTAGAAAGGCTATGTATAACCTTCAGATGTTTATGTGTTTATAAAAAGAGTATTTTACATTATATCAAAGAAATCAACAAACAAAAACATACAATAATTAGATTTCTTTGCTGAAAAACACCTGTCTCATTTGACTGAATGACGCTCTTAGCGTGGGAAAGAAGCCATGCATGATGCTTTTTCAATCTGGTAAAAAAACACCAACGATGGGCCATGAAGATCAGGGATGAGGACAGCTGCGAAATGGGAGATTCTAGACCTCTGATCCAGCTTTCAACGTCAGCTTAATAACCAAGGTCTTGGTATATTTAGAAAAAAGCACAGCAAGTAAAAAGTTTTTTCTTTCTTTTCTTACTGTTATATTAGTGGACTGGGACAGAGAGAGGCAGCATGTGTTTAACAGAAGTCGGCCAATAGAATCAACCCACAACGGGCCCCCTCAGCTGTGTCGGCAAACAGGAAACTGGAGTACAGTCTCATAGTTTCATGTAGCTCCATCTGTTTCTTTTGCTCTCGCATGCACTTTTCCTGCTCTCTCAGAACAACCTGAGCCCCGACGTTTTAGCAGTGGCCTTCTATTTGCTTCAGACCAAACAGCAAAAGATTCTTTTCAACCTTTTCCTGGCAGTCCAACCCCCCCCCCTTCCTTCTGAATCAGGGTGGGCCTCTCTGCCAGACCATTCAGGAGATGGAAGCAGTCACATTATTAAGATGCTTCAGGAGTTACTGAAAATCTCCTGAGGATGAACACACATGTATTCATCCTTCCAAACTCCAGACATGGTCTTAATTAGGTCCCAGTCTACCTTAAATTATGATCACAAGCAACCTGTAGTGTAGGTAGATAGACCAAATAAAATACCTCATCATATACAGGTTTTTTTTAAAAAAGGTTTATGGATTTCTTGCCAGTTATTGTTGCTGTTGTCAGATTAACTAAAACTTCTAAAACATGATCATGCATCACTGGTTTCATTTTTTCCCCCTAAAATAGCTCATTATTTCATGATAAATCAAAGAAGGAAATGCTTTCATAAATCCAGCATTGTAGGCTGTTTTTGAGACTGTGGATAATGGAGCACATAATTGCACATAATTAAATGCACAAAAAAGAAGAGAATAATATTGTATAATGTATGCATTTCCTATACACACACATGTGTATATATATATATATATATATATATATATATATATATATATATATATATATATATATATATATATATATATATATATATTAGGGCTGAAACGATTCATCGAGTAACTCGATTACAAAAAATCCTCGAGGAAATTTATAAGCCTCGAAGCTTCGCTAAATTTATTGTATTGTAATAAGCAATGCTGTTAAATATGCAGCACACTAGTCTAGCCGGAGGGTTTTTGTGTTGCACAACGCTACCACTTCCGTTAGCGCCTGGAGCGCTTGTGCTAAGTTTGTAGCTATGGAGGGAACCGGAGAATGCTCAGAAGGAGAACCCCGAAAGCGACAAAAAATGTCAAAAGTTTGGGAACATTTTAGGCTAAACAGAAAGGACAACACAGCGCAATGCATCCACTGCAAAGCAGAATTGGCGTACCACAACAGCACGACATCAATGTTGCAGCATCTGAAAAGAAAACACCCGATACATGCATCCAACTCGTACACGGTTGCCAACAGGTAACGTTTATGTTCTCTTTGCTAACTACGTTGTGTGATAATCTGCCATGTTATAGATGTAAATTGAGGCACATTATTTTGCTAACATTACATCTAAACATAGCGGTTACTTAACCGGGTGTAGTGTAAATTGTATGTGAGGGTGGAACTGAGAGAAATTATGCAGGACTTAATGTAAGTTTGTTAATAAAAATACGCAGCAAAAGATTACAGTCATAAGCTGAAAAGCATTTATTTATTGGTGTCTGTCCATCCTGAAAAGTTACAGTCTTTTCTTCTCGCTACTGTTATGTATGAATTAGAAATTTTTTATTAATATTTTTTGTAGTAATTCTATATTTGTTTATACCTAAATAATCAAGAATAAATAATAGCATCGTTTTAATAAAAATAGCAACATTTTTCTACTGTTACAAGTAAACTTTCTAAACTACAAACATTTAACTGTTAGGGATGCTTAAAAAGGAGATATTGGACTGATCTGGACTAACTGGTGTTATTGCAGATTTGCCAATAGTTTATTTTATAAATTTTTTTTATCCGATTACTCGATTAATCGTAAGAATAATCGATAGATTACTCGATTACTAAAATATTTGTTTACAACAGCCCTAATATATATATATATATATATACATATATATATATACAGTAGGGATGGAACGGTTTATGAAAACCGTCCGAACCGTTCGGTTCGACTGTCTCGGTTCGATTCGCGTGTGTTTCGTTCGGTTCATGCGCTGTTCCATTTTTTCATAGGCGAAGCGTTTACACTCCAGAGCAGAAGGTGGCGGTACTGCGACCAAAGCCAACCACCAGTAGTAAGCAAGAAGAAGAAGCAAAGCAGCGTAGCCGGTTGTAGCAGAAAAAAATTAGTTGTTGTGGAGAATTGTGTGGGTATGGCGAGTGGGAAAGAACAGGAGTTGGAAGACGCACTTTATAGGTCTGCTGTATGGGACCACTTTGCATTTAGAGTGAGCTACGATGACGGCGGAAAGAAAGTTGTGGATAAAAGTGCAACAGTGTGCAAGCATTGTGCAACACGTTTTGTTAATGCTAACAGCAACATGACCAACATGTCATGCTAACCCCGAAATCCTTCATACTCCGTCAGCGCCCCGCTGCGCTCCAGACCGGCTGCTCAAAGCAAAGCCTACATCCTCAGCTGTGGCTCCCGTCCGCTCCGCTCTGAGTTTCTTGGAGATTGTAGAGGGCATGCGTGAGTTGATTAAATTGAAAGCAGCAAAACATGCGGAAATGATCCATGGTTTCCACGGATCATTAAAAATAATTACAATTCATTAATTTCATTATTTTATTTTTTCATTAATTTTTGTAATTTTTATTAATTTTTTTATTTTTCGGTGTAACAATAAAAATATACCGAACCGAACCGAAAACCGTGACCACAAAACCGTGAACCGAACCGTGGATTTTGTGAACCGTTCCACCCCTAATATACACACACATATATATCTCGTTCTGAAATCAGTAGCTCTTGTGTTGCTCTTCAAGTTGCTCTTGTGTTAATCTCCCCTTAGTTCATCGGGAGCTTTGCATCTTAGGTTGGCGTGATAGGGTTCATATCATCTTTCTACTAGTTGCACAACTAGAAATAAAACCTGAACATAGCAGAAACCATGAATACCTGTATAATAAGTGCATTGCTGTTAACTTCTGCCCGAAGATCTTAAAGGGTTTTCATCCTGTCTGTCCTACATGGGAACAGAGTCCAGCTCTAAACATGCCAACTCAGCCAAATAAAATAAGGCCTGCTTCTTGGCTGACAGACTAGCAAATAGTTTTCTTTTTTTTTTTTTTACAAACACTGGCCTTAGGAGATGAAACTGAAGATTGCTGCTTTAACAGAACCAGAGTTCAACAGTTGCAAGCTTAGCTCAGTCTTCACAACACCTTCTCAGGCAGGCAATTCCCTTTATGCATTTGTATTGTTTTTTTACTCTATTTTTCTTTTATTCTACGATTTCTTCTCACCTCCATTCTCCTAGGCCTGCCTGAGGAGCCCACAGAGAGACCTGAGGAGAAGGTCCATCATCCCTGCGCTCCTTATTAGTGCTAGATGGGCACCTGGCTTCCATGTTCAGCTCAGCTGGTTCCGACCACCAGGCTCCACATATTTCCTATTTCTAACTTAAAATAGTTCACTTTCTCTGAACTTATGTTTAGCTCTATGTGGTTCTCAAGGCATATCTGTTTAAGCAGACAAAAAAAGGTTTTCTACTCATTTCAACATTCTCAAAACATGGTAGCCTAAGTCTTTATAAGCAGAACAGGAGGATTTTACAACAAAAAGGGACAAAAGACATGTATAAAAACCACAAAAGGTCAAATTCAAACACATACCTTTGGTTATCTGTTCTGTAGTCTGTAACAAGAGAGAAAAAAATTAATGTAACTTTAATACCTATAACAAAAGAATAAATATCAATGTTCAATTAATGCACATCATAGAATCTAGTGAAAAGGAAACATATACTGCTATTCTACAAAGGACAAAAAATATATGAAAAGGCATCAATGGGTTTAAGATGATTTTTAACAAAGCAAAGGTGAACATTTTCGATAAAAACAAATGAACACAACATGGTAGCAAAGTCAACAGTGTCTTTAAAGATAAGTTTCTGATTCTTGAAGCTGCATTGACCTTAGAGACGGCTGAACTGGAGTCACACCCCCAACTTAGGTTACGTTCACATTGCAGCCTGAAGTGACTCAAAAAAAAACTATTTTTTTTTTCGCCCGATTTTTTGCGACCCAGGTCAGTTGGCTCTGCAGTCCTGAATCCGGTACGAATCTGATCTTTTCAAATGCGCGTTCATCTGACCTGTACGCCATTAACACCCAACATAGGTCACTATTATGCGTCTTGCTACGCAGAAGCAGGAAGAAAAACAACAATGGCGGACGATAATGTGGAAAATTGTATTTAAGTTTATCCAACCTGAAAAAGATTGTGCTTTTAAGGTTTTAATGCGTCCTCTACTGTACATGAGGGAAGCTTAGGTTATATGAATGCAGTTCACACAGGAGATTACATACAAGGCGCATATATTTGGAAATGTGAACGGCAATGCAAAAAACTCACCCAAAAATTCTGAATTGAGCATTAAGGCCTGCAGTTTGAACGTAGCCTTTTAAGGGTCTGCAATATTGTGCTCTATAGAGCAACCAGTTCAGGATCCTGCTACCCTGTTTCTGTAAAGAAATCACAGGCAAATGGTTCCTCCATTTAAAATTCTCAATACCTAGAAGGACTTCTACTTGGATTATCAAAAAGTATGAGGTTACCCTGAATTTAAGGTTGTTCTCCCTCTACATGCCTGTTGGAAATGAAACAATTAATTACAATAAATAAAAGCGTCTAACTTTTAATGAAATTTTAAACATTTCACAAAATAATGATGATAAGATGGTATTTAAGAGTATTAATATCAAACAGACAGTCGATGATGGGTATTAGGTGATATTCACATGCTCTGCTGAAAAAAGACACTGAACCTTATTTCATCATTTTGACATTAGATAAAACTAAACATTTCAATTGACATAAAAAAAACTATAATTGATAACAGGTATATTAAAAGAGAAAATAATTTTAGACATTTTTATAACATTTTTAAAGTTTTATTCTTCAGTCCATACCTGCGCTAAAATTATGATGGCTTGACATCATTTGAGCAGTAATAGCTAGCTAAGCCTCTGAAGGGTTCGCTCCAAACCTATTAGTTAAATTGGGGCACACCTATAGATTTCATTTAAGGCAACATCTCAAAGCCACTGCCTCCCTGCGTGAATCCAGATATCAGGAGGAGATTGCAAGATCTCCTCCATAAATCTGGTAGAAAATTGTCACCTGAATCTATAAGAATTAATTCATTTTCATTTTATGGAAGTATAAACACAATTAAAATGCAAAGCCACAAAACAGTTTAAGTGTAAATGTGCAAATCAACCCCAGAACAAAAGCAGACAACCTTGTAAGGCTGCTATCAGTGAGTCATTATCAGCAATGAAAGGAGTTCTGTGCTTTACGGGCTGAAAGTCCACTCAAGAGAAATAAGTGATCACTCCAAGAGCATAATAAAAATCTGGATCAATTTACAAATGCACTGGGTACCAAGTGACTTACTTTTTAGGAGGCATAATGAGAAATGTAATAATTGGAGGGAAAAGTGGCCCTGAAAACAAGTATCGCATAATAGGGAGTTGGTGGCATCAAACTTGACTATATTTTGCAACAGGAGGTATTGACAATCAAGTCTTGGTCAAATAGGTTTTCCAAATGGATGATGAACCCAATTAGGCTAAGTTCACACTGCAGACCTTGATGCTCATTTCTGATTTTTATGTGAAATCCGATCTTTTGCATTGCTGTTCACATTTCCAAATAAATGCGACTTGTATGTGATCTCCTGTGTGAACTGTAGTCATACAACGCAAGTGTCCTGCGTGCGCAGTATAGGACGCAATGATGTCACAGGCCAGCGTGCTCTGTGTTTATAGAAGTAAACGTGGACGGTAGTGCCGGAGTGCAGCTAGCAATCTTTCCCAACCATAAAAAAACTATCTTTTCAAGATGGTTAAACATAAATACCGTTCTCCGCATCATCCTCTGTCGTGGTTGTTGTTTTTCTTGCTACTTCTTCATAGCAAGAATAGTGACCTTTGTCGGGTATTAATGTCGTTCAGGACCACATAGCCAAGCGGCCTGGGTCGCATTGGAAAAAAAATTGGATCCGTGTTGTTCAGACAGCCATGAAAACATCCGATCCAGGTCACATATGGGCCAAAAAAATCGGATTTGGGTCACTTCAGGCTGCAGTGTGAACGTAGCCTTATATACAAGTCAAGGTTTTAGAGGAACCATCACAAAGTCCTGATTTTAGGTAAAAATGGTGTTTGAGAGTTAGTCAGCCTAGAAAACTTCCTCAGAAACTTGAGCACCTAAAATGTTATGTCAATGAACATAAAAAAGATAATCCTACCACATATTAATGTTAATATACAAAATTCTAGATTTAAACAAAGATTGTTAAAAATAAATTTGTCTTTCTTATTCTTTTAGCATTTAGAGATAATTTTGGTAACCCTAACTGATCAAAAACAGGAATCATTGGGTCTAGTTTAACATGGCTGTGACAAAAAAAGGTTTTGTTAACTAAAAAGTCTGTTAATATTTGGTTCCAACCCTATAGGTTTGTTAATGTGAGCATAAAAGCTGCTCACATTGCGGATTGTACGTGGACCAGGCATAATCTTACCCTAAACCAAAGGCTAAATAAGGTTAAAGAAGAGAAAATCTTCTAAATAATTTAACGCATTTAAGTAGAACATGTAACATGGTATGTACCTTGTAGATACCATTAGTGAATACCACTGTGTGAAAACAAACATTTAGTATATAATAAATAAATGAAAACAAACACTTTATAACATGATGTGATTTAAAAAAAATTTTTCCCCATCGACAGCTGATTTTTCTGTAGTGTAACTACATTCTTGCAGTAAAAAATTATCTTATTAATCTTTATGAAATAAACTTTCTAAAATAATTTTTTCCCAGAAATATATTATCTTCTATTGCTTTATCAGGCAGTAAAGCTAGAATGGACCGACTGCACTGATCTGAGGTCTTACAGTGGCTCAGATTATATTAAACAGTAAGCAGAACCAATTGAAGCTTGAATACATGAAGAGATTGAATGACTGAATGTTTGGACTGTTATTAAAACTAGTGCTTCACAACAGGAAGCTTTGCAGGGATCTGATGGTGGAGTTTGCATGTTTGTGGGATTTCTCCACTACTGTTTTTGATCATATGGTGACTTATAATTGACCTTAGGAGAGTCAGCGTGCCTGCCATGATGTTTTCAGCCCTGCGGGGTTATAACCTGCCTCTCACCAGATGGGATAAGCACCAGCTTCAATGGACGGGATTAGGTTAACATGGAAAACCGATGGATGAACAAATGGCTGGAGCAGTAGCAATTCAAAACAAAACTTCAACTGAGTTTTTACCTTTTTCTGTGCAACTTCTTTTTTCTTCTCTTCTTGTTTTTTCTTTTTCTTATCTTCCATCAAATGATTTTCTTCTTGTGTTTTTGCTTCTTTTCACAGCTACAATATAAAAAGACAAGAAAGGAAAAAACTTCACCTTAGGCAACTGCTAAACTCCACAGAGTCAGATTAACTAACAAAAATGTTAGAAGCTGGTGACGGAACACCAATGCACAACCCAGCCACCTTTGAGACAGCTGAGTTTTAAGATTCTGTGAGCAATTTTGTGAGCTCTTAAATCGGCATTTACACTGACCTCACAAACTGAGGCTCCTATTGTGATTGTGTGATGGAAGTCATTGCCACGCACCATTTCGAACATTTCCTTAACACCAAACCTTTGGGATGCACTACCTGTACCATGGTCCAACATCCCAGACCCTGAAACCATACTCAGTCATTGTTACAACTCCCTGGCTGGCTTCTCTAAAGTACTGCTGTCCTACTCCCGATCATCAGTAGCCTCTCCCCGACCCTCAGCGTTCAGTTTTCCACTGCACTAGTGACAAGTCTTTCAGTGTATCCTCTGTAGTAAGAATCAGAAATACTTTAATAATCCCAGAAGGAAATTACAGCCTAGTTAGCTGTAGCATCTCCCTGCCCTGGCGCCCTCTGGCTCTGAATAAAACAAATATGGACCAAGCGCAGAGAAAAGATGCATGTCTGCTCAAAAAGAACTCATTAACAACACAATGACCGGCGCTTTAAATCGGTGGTCTTCAAAATGACCAGCCGGGATCAGCGGCCGATTACATGAAAATCAATTGACAGTTGCAAGTCTACTCCTAGCTAACAGCATAAATCTGCCTGCTAGCAGCAACTTACTCTTTCTTTCAGTGTGGTGGCCCCACTGATCTCTATTTATTCACTGGATTGCTGATAGGCCAAAAAAAAAAAACTGAAGTCACCTGTCGCCATCTTGGTACTCCCCACCCTCACAGAGTTGCGCCCTAAAAATTCCTGTAATGTAACGTAATTACCATAACAATGTAATCAATACATGTATATTACATCTACATCATCAATTTAGCAGTTTTGGCACATCAGCAGAGAGTGTGTGTGTGTGTGCATTAGAGACTGACACGGGAGTGGATTTTCACTCCTGTCCCGTCCCACTCCCACAGAAAAAAATAGTGTCCCGTCCCGATCCCGGGCCAGAGTAGAAATCTAAATCCTGTCCCGTCCCACTCCTGGTGAAATTACTCCCACTCTCATCCCGCTCCCATTCAGAATGACTCCCGCTCCCTCACCACTCCCATGCTCTGTTCGAAAACCTAGGACGCGTCCTTAGAAGGCCAGATTAAGTCATAGTGCGGCGCTGAGGTCTGGTCGGATTCCAAGAGTCCTCGTTATGCGGCCTTAAAATGCGTTCTTCTTTTAGCCCGATTTGAAGGATGGATGTCGATGTATCCTCGGTATCCTTGGTTTACCCAGGATTCATTGCGAGACCAAGCAAGCCGTGATCAGAGGAAAGGTTACTTGGCGCCGAACAGTGGTGAAAAGTGGAAGTTCAGTTTAATATAATCCAGTCTGTGAATAGTTTCATCTGAGATTAATGAAAATAGTTGTTTTAATGGTTATTGAGTCAGATATTGGCGGTAATGTTTGATTTATCTAAAGGTTTTAATCTGTTACTGTGTAAATGGGTTTGGCTGGAATTTAAGGACAGATTCTAATATATCTGCAGAGAGGGGACTATAAATCTGATAGGAGTTTTATCTTTTTATTGCTGTTTTGCACAATATGCCTAACTAAGATTTTTTTTCTTGTTTAATATTAGAGATTTTGCAGATATGTTTTTAATACATACATTTTTTAGATTTACTTATATCTTTCTACCCCTTTTATAGAATAGAAAATCCCTTTATTGTCCCACAATGGGCAAATTTACAGCAGCAGAAAGATTATTGAAAATGGTCACACAAATGTGGACCTTAGAAAAAAGTATAAGAATAACATAATAGGGAAGAGTTAAAAAAACAAAACAAAAAAAAAATACAATTCTGTAAAGTGTTTTAACAATATAAAACTGGAGAATAAATAACCAATATGCAGCTATGGACATTTTTACAGTAATGGATATTTGAAAATAGCAGCAACATCAGAGATGTGCAGAATGACAGCAGCAGGTTATTTAACTGACTAAGGTTTATTTCATTACATTTGATTTTATTTGTTCCTGCTCCCGGTGGTTGGAACCTTTATTCCAATCTGGATTCTCATCAGTCTTTGTTCACTTTACAATAAAAAAGAAATAAATAAACAAACAGTTTTGGAAACTTCGGTTTTCATTCTTTTCCTGCTTTGTGTGTCAACTTTAGCGGTTGCTAAGCAACAGACCTTACGGCGATAAAACCCGCTGAAGGGTAGACCTGGTCGAATTCACAGCCAAAACTCTTCCGGTCTCCTTATTTTCACGGACTTCAAAGGATCCAGTCTAAGTAAACCACGTCCTTGGAGGATGCAGCCCAGGATTTCGAACAGAGCCCCATTCTTGTTGTTTTTGAGCGTGGGTGAAAAACTCAGAGCGGAATCACTGTTGGTTTTTGGGTCGTGTAGTTTTTTTGACTCGCATTATACTGTAGGCTTAAAGGAAAAAAACTACAAAATGGCGGCGCCGCGCCAGTACTGGATTTTTTTTCTTTCTATTTTATTTTATTTTTTGCCATTGATCCTAGTTTTTTTTAGTTATTATTGGTTTGCTCCCGCTCCCGTCTGCTCCCGTTAATGTTTAATCCTGTACCATCCCAATCACGTGATCGTTACTAATACTGACTCCCATCCCACGGGAATCCCACGGGAATCCCGTGACCCATGGGATTCCCGAAAAAATGTCAGTCTCTAGTGTGCATGTATCTAAGTACAGTATTACTATGCTACAGTAACACAAAAATTCTGTTGTGATGGATTTGTATTATATTGCATCATTTATAGACTTAATTGACTTCATACTGAATATGCAATGTGATGTGCTTTTTTTTTTTTTTTTTTTGGGCTGCTCAGTGGTGCAGTGGGTAGCACTGCTGCATTGCAGCAAGAAGGTTCCAGGTTTGTTTCCTGGCCAGGGTCTTTCTGCATGGAGTTTGCATGTTCTCCCTGAGCATGCATAGGTTCTCTCCGGGTACTCTGGCTTCCTCCCACAGTCCAAAAACAAGACTGTTAGGTTAAATGGCTTCTCCTAATTCTCCTTAGGTGTGAGTTTGTGCGTGAATGGTTGTTTGTCTCTGTATTGCCCTGTGATAGACAGGTGACCTGTCCTGGGTGTACCCCACCTCTCGCCCGTAGACAGCTGGAGATAGGCACCAACACATCTCGCGACCCCGATTAGGATAAGCGTGACAGAAAATGGATAGATGTGCCTATTTTTTTTTTTTTTACCATAAATTAAACAGCAAGTGTGTGTCAAACTGATTAATTTATCTTTATTTTAAAAGTCTTAAGCCCCCTTGAAAATGAGAAAATCATTGTTGTTCGATGCTGTAGTGCACGTATTGTTTACATTCCAACCGATCTAACTAGGGAGTACCAATATGGCGGCCGGGGACTTCACAGCACCATGTTCTACCAACTACTCCAGTGAATAAATACAGACCAGTGGGCGGCACACCTATATTAAGCAAATTACTTCCACCAAAGTAATAGAGCGATAAAGTCAGTTTCTGATATTAGATAAATGTATCTTGACCAAAAATCTTGTGCATCTGCAATTTGGAAAATCACATTTTATTCCTAAGAAATACCCTACTGCAAACTCCTATATACATAACTGGCTACACAACTGCAGTTTCAGAATGCTAAGAACAAAGAGAGCTCTTCTCATGCCTTTTGTTTTCACCCTAAAGCCCATCCTTCTTTTACCTTCTTTACTACAGTGGAAGCATTACTGCACCCCTTACTGAAGTGCCACATGTATTACAGCAACTATTACTGCTTCTTAGATTTTGTTCATATTTTAACATTTATACTTTTCCGTGTGAATACCTTTTTTTGCTCTGTGTGGATGTAACCTCAGTATTTGCTGTAGGAAAATGAACTGAGCACTTGCCATGCCTTTTCTTTTTGCATGTTGCACAGACCATAAAGCAGTCATTGCAATGTATGTGAAAATAAATGACAAGATAACTGCACCATTACCAACAAAAAGGCTAGTAAAGCAGATTTTGAGTTTAATATCTGATAAGGTCATTGCACCGTTAACTCTGAATTTAGAGCCACTTAAGCGGCTCTAAAGATAAGCTTCCCCAATAATCAAAGAGCCAAAAGTCAAATTACAATATGCTCTTATTTCACATTGAAAGAAATAAAGTGCTGATTTAAAATTACACACTTAAAAAAATATTCTGATATAATTAGAAACTTTTTAAAGTGCAAAACAAATAGAAAAATAAGCAAGTCCTTAAACCTGAAATGTAATATTGTTGATAAAACCATTAGCCCAACCTACTGCCAACATTGCTGCAGCAGGCGATTGTGACATGTGCCACTGCCTGGCAACAGGAACTCCCAGAGGTCCCAGGAGCAGTCAGGTGGAGACAGGCAGAACCCTTTAGCGAAACGGTGAAGTCAGTTTTAACCATTCAGGGAACTAGGAAAGTAAGACAGCTGAAACTGGAAAAGATTTTTGAGCTGAAGCCAAAATCTGAACCTACAAAGCTGAAAAGATGTCATGAGAGTTGGTGCCAAAAATCCAAAGACTAACATTCTTATTCTGTTACCTGATCAACCTTTTATTGCCATAGGGCAAATTATGGAAAGGCAAAATATTTGGATGCATTTAGGGAATACAAAACACAGTTTGTTGCTGCGCTGAGAAAACAAAGTGACCAGAAGACACTCAGATAATAACATTTAGACAATACTAAAAGAAAACCTGCAGAAAGGCAAAAGAAAAAAAACTAAGAGACAGGTACAGTATTTCAACTGAAATAATGGAGGCTTTAAATTAGTTTATTCCTTTGCCAAATCGGACTCATTATACTCTCATTTCTGTCTTCTTCTATTTTTTAGAAGTAAATTAAATATTGTACTGTCTGTTCTATTGTGGTGTGTTTACACCTAAAAATAATGTCATTCTGGTGAATTTTTTTACTACCATATTTACATGCTAATGGTTGCTTGACATCTATCCATCCATCCATCCATCCTCTCCCACTTATTCCATTTCAGGATCGCAGTGGGGCCATTGTCTATCTCCAGTAGTCTATAGTCGATTGAAATATGAATGAAAAGGGAAATTTTAAACAGAGTTTAGGGCGATGCACGCTCCCGCGACAGGGAAGGTAATTCTCCGCACACAGGATTTTCTCTGCATTTATCTGTCCACTAAATGTCTCAATTTTAGGGCATCTATGCATAAGAAATATGAAAATATTAGGAATATGTTTAAAAGTTCCCTTTTCATTCATATTTCAATCTGTTTTCTCATCAGTGTGCGAGATGGGAGGTAATTCTCGGCAGCCAGGTATTTATTGGC